GCCAAACACAAACCAGTATTTTCCACCATGGTTGTAATTTTGGCCTGTAATTTTATCACTCAAATCTAAATCCACTTCAGAAACACCATAAACTAATTGTCACTGTATAAACTTAAACTTTGCGAGCGGTTTTGAAGAGTGATTTAATAAAAGGAAAATAAAAAACAAATGTTACCCACATTGAGGGGATTTTTTTGGCAGAACAAAAATGGTCAAAGATTTCTTACTGTTCCCTTTCTTGGTTTGATTGAAGATACCCAGTCTAGTATTTTCATCACTGCAAAACTCAGCAGGTTTCATTTATTTTGGACGAGGGCAAGCGTTTGCTTATTCAGCAGTTTGCCACCATCTGTACATTGCTGTTTTGTTTCTTTTTTCTAAAAAGAAAAAAAAAATCACTGTAAATAGCAATGTGCCAGATCAAATTTGTATGTCACAAGCATACCTACTTCCTAACTCTGGAAGAATATTTATCCCTCCGTGTTAACAATATGGATTTCTGTCTTCGTTCCTTAGCTGTGTTCACAGCTTGCGATGCTAAACCCTTCAAAGCCCATTCGTAGTTTACGTTAGACAAAAATCTGAGCGACTACTGGTTAGCCTGCTTCACTTCATTCATATTAAGAAACAATATACAGAGGATATAGAGCGATTAGCTCTGTTTATGCTGACAAAAAAGGGCTTGAATAGGGAGTAAACAGCCAGACTGGGCACAAGCTCCGACCGGCTTCTGGTAATTCACTTATGAATGAAAATCTTTTTTGCAAAACCTCCAAGCACCAGCAAATCTGGGAATGTCAAACAACGGCAATTCTTACACGCTGCCTGCAGTCATAAACAGCCAACAATGGGGGGGAAAGAACATTAACAAGCCATTTGTTGTGGCAAGAGATGAAGAGATCAAAAGCTGCAAAGCATGTACATGTAGAGAGATACCATCTCCCATGCACTCAAGTGTCAGATTAGAAGCATCCTCCTGTTTGTGACAAGACCTGCGAGAATTCAGACAGTCTCAGGACAATGACCAGGATGTCCCTTCTCAAATCAAAGCTATCTATGGGCAAGATCCTAAAAGGAGCTTGTGAAATTTAAATCACACTGTGCCATCCTTCTGCTGACATTGTGCCCCCAAAATATATCTGCCCATGTGCCTGATGGTTTTCACCTGGTGCAATGGGAAATGCACTGTGGCAGTTTCTGTATTTCCAGTGAATGAAGTGGTACATTGAAGATCCTTCCAAAGACTTATGCACCATCTTAGCATTTGCCACTGCATGGTTGGTTAGCCCCAACTAAAGTTTGTGTGTGTGTGCCTTCAAGTCACTTGTCAACTTATGGCAGCCCCATGCATTTCACAGGGTTTTCTTAGGCAAGGATGACTCAGAGGTGGTTCTCCCAGTTATTTGTTGGCAGTCTCCCATCTAAGTACTAATCAGATCTGACTTTGCTTAGCTTTCAAGATCAGGCAGGATCTGGTGCCTTTAGGGCAGTGATTCCCAAACTTTGGTCCTCCAAGTGTTTTGGACTTCAGCCCCCTGAAGTCCCAGCCAGCTTGGCCAAAAGTCAGGAATTCTGGGAAATGAAGTCCAAAACATCTGGAGGACCAAAGTTTGGGAACCACTGCTTTCAGGTATTTAGGCACAAGTCACTAATTAAATACCACCATTAAATTTAGGCACAATTAAAGTAGACCCATTCAGATGTCCAAAGTACTACAGTCTCAGTTTGGTCATCCTAGCTTGTAGGAAGAGTTCAGACTTGATTTGCGCTCAGGCCAATTCATTTGTCTTTTGGGCAATTCATGATATCTGCAGAACCTTCCTCCAGCACCACATTTCAAATCATTTAATTTTCTGTCTGAACCTTAGGAAGATTGTCTTGACTGTAACAACTGTATGGCAGTGGAATGGACTTTCTTCAAGGGTGGTGGATTCTCCTTTTGTGTGTTGGAAGCCCATCTCTCAAGAGCACTTCAGTTGTGTATTCCTACATGGTAAGGGGTTCGACTAGATCCCACCCAGCTTTATAATTCTACGATTCTAATTTTCAGCCTAAATCCCCCTAGCTGACATGGCAAGTCAATGGGGGATTCTTGGAGATGCAGTTCAAAAATGGTAACTTTGATGATATCCATTCCTATGTTCCTTCTCTATTTTGTCTACTCTAACCATTTGGCACCTTCTAGTCAGACTCACAGAGCTAACAAATGAGCACAGAGACTCCATTTCCTTTCATGGCCAGGTGCTTTCAAGTAAGCAAGCTGCCAGCTCCAGTGGGTTTTGCCTGGCAAAGAGCCCTTTGGAATGAAGGGGAAAAAAAGATGAAGGAACAGCCAGGAGGGAAAGAGTAGCCATGAAACTGAACAGATAGTTTTGCAATGTAATTTTCCATTCTGAGTAATAATGGGACCTGGCATCATGCTAAGATGGATGGAGCTGCCTCAGCAAGGAAAGGCTGCCCTTTAAGTACAGCCCAGGCTTTCCAGAGAAATGTCTCAACACCTCTTTACTGGCTGATCCGTGTTGTTGTTGTTTGTTGTGTGCCTTCAAGTCATTTCGGACTTATGGAGACCCTAAGGCAAACCTATCATGGGGTTTTCTTGGTAAGAGTTGTTCAAAGGGGTCTTTCCATTGCCTCCCTCTGAGGCTGAGAGACTGTGAGTTGCCAAAGGCCGAACAGGGATTCGAACCCTGGTCTCCAGTGTCATAGTCCAAAGCTCAAACCACTATACCACCTGGTCTCCCCAAAATTACTTCTCCTGGAGAGAGTAGGAGGGATTGTATCTCCCAAAAGAGAATGAAGCCAGGCTAAAGGTGTGGTATTTTCAAACCAAGAGTGCAGCTATGCTGTAGAAGCAATGCAGTTTGACACCACTTTAAGTGCTGCAGCTCCATCTTATGGAATCTGGGATGTGCAGTTTTACAAGATCTTAACCTTCTCTGTCAAAGAGTGCTGGTGCCTCAACAAATTACAAATCCCAATATTGTGTAGGATGGAGCCATGACAGTTAAAGTGATGTCAAGCTGCATTGTTTCGACAGTGTAGATGCACCCTCGGTTCCTTTCCCTTAACCACAAGAAGAAGGGAGAGAAAATTGCCATTTGGAAGTGGAAAACTTTGAACACAGAAGCAATGGCTGGCTAAAGCTCCCCGTTCCCATCACAGCTTATCTGGATCTGCTGACTACCAAGTAAATTCAGTACATCTGCTTTGTTCGCTGATGCAAAGAGATCTCTGTGTTCTTGTTCTTTGAAAGGGACATTTGAAAGGGAAAAGTGGTGGGGAGGGGAGGACACATAAGCTCTGAAGCCCATTACAAATCCACAACGTGTAATCGGATGCCTGCATATTCCTAGGACGGCAAATCTGCAGCTTTAAAGGCAAGATGCGAGACACATATTATCTGGTTTTTGAGATCTGACAAGGTTGGCTCCACCAAAAATGTTATCTCTAAAGCAAACAAGGCCATGAATGTCAGCGTTCAGACCGACTTGGTCCCTCTGGAGGGTAGCTCTCCTTGCTTGTTTAGAACATCTGTTCTCAGCTTGGTACCCTCCATATATTTTGGGCTACAATGAAGATGGACACACACATATCACCATTAACAATCTAAGATATCAATGCAGACAACACAACACTACCAACAGAAACAAACAACAATCTGGAGCAATTACTTAAGAAGGTCAAGGAAGAAAGTGCCAAGGTTGGCCTAATGCTGAACATTTAAAAAATGAAAAGGACCATAGAAGATCTACAAGAATTCACCCTAGACAATGATAAAATTGAAATAGTCGAAGAATTCACATAACTTGACTCAAATATTGATCAGAACGGAGACTGAAGTCAAGAAATCAGAAGAAGACTAGGTTTGGGAAGGGCAGCTATGAAAGAACTGGTC